CTGGGAGCCTAGCATGCAGTAGGTATGCGATGATCGTTCCCATCCCAAACCTGCTTTTATATCTATGACTGGCTCCCCCAGCTTCTAGTCACTTGTGCCCTTCCCATCCTCTCCCCTCCTGCTGTTCCCCTCCAGCTACACAATCCAGATACTTCTATTCCTTTTGCACATCCAAAGCATTGGTGGAAAAAACTGCTGACATCTGTCTGTAGGTTTTAAATTTATTGCTATCCTGCTAATTCACATATATTCTTTAGCAAATACAAAACCTATCTAGGCAAAATGATGATTTTTCTACATTTCTACAAAATGATGATTTTTAAGAGTAACGTACTCGGTTCCTGAATACTGTAAAGCTGAGGGCAAAAAGCTCTTACTCTAAATTTTTTTGAAAGCTTAACATAAATAGTTTAGAAAACAGGATTGGAGGATGTTCCCTTCTGCAGTGACACTTACAAAGAGTTACTTTGTGAATAACACAGCGTGGGGATGGTTACCTGACCTATGGTTGATTACATATATATTTTAAAACTAAAGCTCCCTTCTACATTAACATTCAATATGCTAGCAGCATCTAGGGTAATCTTTTACGCCAAAGAATTTTTAAAAGGGGGTTTCCCAGCAACACAGGCTTTGGATCTCATCACTAAAAATTATAGAATAACATGAACATTAGTTCTCCCCAGTAAAATATTTTAGACAGATGTATATTTACTGAACATAGAAACAGAGACAAATAAAAGCTAACCATAATTTAGGCTTCATTCCCCTGCTAAAACTGCTTAGTTTATATTAAACTGCTATTTCTTTGTTTCACCTACCATTCCCGGGCGAGCTTCTTATAAGCCTTTTTAATATCAGCCTGACTGGCTGTTCGGCTGACCCCTAGGACTCTGTATGGGTCAAAATCCAACGCAGACAGAATTTGCAGGATCAGAACCAGAACTATCAAGAACTGCCAGGAAATGCTCAACTTTTTCACTTCCATTTCTCTTCCTTTCCAGAGCTGAAATGATTGAAGAGGCAATAAGTTTCAGTGGTAGAAACCTGGACAGTCTTACTTTTTTAGGTAAAGGGGTAAGATATAGAGATGAAAAACAAAACCAACAAAAGCTCTTTGGCAGGAAACGTGTCAATCTGTTTGACCAGGTCTTTTAAAATCAATCATCTTGCTGCTACTTTTGAACATACCATACATAAGAACTATTATAGATGGAAAGATGAGCAGTAAGAATTAACAGCAACTTTCCAGACTCCTTGGGTTAGAAAAGCTTTAGAAATGACTGAAAATGAATGAGATGAAGAAATGATAAGCCAATGTGGGAAAATATACATAGGAAAATCAAGGCAACTACATCTCAAACACACTGTTTCACTTAGTCTGACAATAATACTTTAAATTTAAAAAATAAGTGGCTTAAGAACACTTCACTGAGTACATGCTAAATAAATTCATGAGATCGTAAGATTTGCCAGGTGCAAAACTATGAAACTCAATAGCTGTGACATTCTTGGGGTTAAATAAGTACAAGTAGGAAAGTGAGATACTCTTAAAAAAAAAAAAAGACGACGGTTATGACATTGTGTACCCCAAATCTATTCTTTCTCACCACACCCACTGGACCAAAAAAAAAAAAAAAAAAAAAGAGACCAAAGATGAGGAAAAGCTGGTGAGAAAAAATTTAGTTTTCCATGTGAAGGGAGGTTAATGGCAAAAGCTGTAGACCAGGCAGGGTCTTCAAATGTTAAAGATCCATGTCTGGGGCGTGCCATAACTGAATTCACTGTGGGTTCAGAAAGAATCCTGGTTGGTTACTGAACAAGGTAGTGCTGTATTGCACGGACATTTACAGTCCAGAAGTATGATCTTTGTTCTATCATACGTTGAGTTTTCAAGGGTCATATTTATCTTGACTTCTCATGAATTACTCAAGTTTTATGGTTCAAGTGTCTAATGTGACACCTGACTTAAGGAAGGCAAAGCTGTTAACAGCGGTGCATTTTGACAAGCGGAAGTCTCAATAGTGCCTGGGAGTGCTCACAAAATTGACCCATTTGATGGCCAATTTTTAGGACTGCATGCATACTGAGCAAAAATCCTAAACCAAATCAGTCTCTTTCTTGTTAAGGCAACCTATAACCGATTCTGTCCTATAAAACCCCGCACAGAGCGCTGAAACTCGGGAAGGTGAGGTAGCTATTGGTTAGGCACACAGGCTCTGGAACAGACTCATATTGGGATCTGTCCTCCACCACTTTATGACCTTGGGCAATTTACTTAAACTTGCAAAGCCTCAGTGTCATTCATAAATGGAGGTGAATTAATAACACCTTGAAAGGATAAACAAGGGAGTTAAATGTATGTAAAGGATTTACTGAACATAGGGTCAACAGTCAGAAAGTGATACTTATTATTTTTCCTATCACGCAGTGCAATCGCTGCCTTATTCCACCGTGTCAGTCGCCTCCAGTGAGCAGCCCGAGGCGGGGGGCTGTGAAGTTCTTTGGCTGGCAGTCTCGAGCTCGACTGTGCCCGCCTCGGGGCAGAAATCACCTGCCCAACAGGTAGGCTACCGCCCGAGGCAGTATCCCCCAGTCCAGGTAGCGGCTCCAGGAGGCACGCTCCAGGTCTGAGCTCCCGCCGGAGGTCGCAACCCTCCAGGAGACGGCCGCCTCCCCCGCCGCCCACCGAGAGCCCTGGGCAGGGCCCTGTCGGCTCCCAGTTTCCCCCGGGCCCGGGGGAACCGGGAACGAGGAGGAACTGACGGGAGATCCCCGAGCCTGCCCGGCCCCGCCGCGTCCGCGGCTCCGCGCGTCACGCCGGGAAGGAGTTACCGGGAAAGGGCACCGGCCCAACCGGCTGCGGCGTCGGTGCTCCAGTTAGTCCGCCGGGCCGGGAGCCTCCGGTCCGCACCAGCGCTGGCCGGGACCTGGGGAGGGGAGGGGGGCGGGAACGAGCGGGAGGGGTCACGTGACACTTAAAGGCTCGGCTCACCGAAGGCGCGGACTGAACGGGTCGACGGCTTCTACTTTGCGAATCTGTTTTGACCCTTGCTACCCGCCGTCTGCGCGTGGACCTGGCGCGGTTGCCATAGAAACGAGGCGCGCTCTTTGGCTGGATCCAAAGGGATGATCGTGACCAAAGAGGCCAAAACGTGCCTCCTAGAGAGGCAAAGTCGCGATGCATGATGGGATGCCCCAAAGACTTCCCCGAGTCAGGGAGGAGTTTCCCCTCCTACCAGGAGATGGCCCTCGTCTGGCAACAGTTGCTAGGGTGGGGAAGCAATAGCTGGTCCCTGTTCTCTTTAACCCTATTCATAGAATCCTAGAGCGTCAGAGTTGGACGGGACCTTGGGGAGCCTTTCTAGTCCGACTCCTCCTTATACTGATGGGGAGACTGAGGCCCAGAGAGAGGCAGGGACTTGCCCAACGCCTAGAATCCAGGACTCCCAAATTTACCTACCAAAGCGAGCTCCGCCTTAGAATGTACCAGGGACTGGCCTCAGCACAGGAAAGAGATGTGTGTGTGTGGCGGGGAGGGAGAGGTGAAGTCACAGGTCAATTAGGTACACTTTCATTGAGCCGATGATATAGGTTCCTTGGGGATATAAAGATAGAGATTTCATATCCCCCCGCCCTGTTTCTGTTATTTAAAAACATTTTTCTTTGCGTTTATCACCAATACACTGTATCTTTTATTTCTTTATGTTATCTTTTATATTTCTTATATTTGTTCATATTGTCATCGTCTGTCTCCTCCCACTGGAATGTAAGCTTCTAAGGGTAGGGCCTTTTATTGTGTTCACCTAGATCTTCTCGGTGCCTGCGTAGACAGCACAGGCAGGATCTTAACAAATATTTGTGGAATAAACGAATGAATGGGGCTGAGGTTTTGAGACTCAGAGAATGGATTCTAAGGTGGACTTGAGTCGGGTTCAGGTCTGAATTTTGACTGCCTTGTGCCTCTTACTACCTCTGGGACCTTGAACGGAGACCACTTCCCTGAGTCTGGTCTATAAGATGGGTGAAAGGAACACTTTTTGGTATATTCCTTTGGTAGGATTGTAGTCAAGTGAGATAACGCAACGTCAAGTGACTAGCACAGTGGCTGAGACTTAGCAAATGCTCAATAAACAGGAGCAATTATTTATTTATTTATTTGTTTGTTTGTTTGACAGACAGAGATCACAAGTAGAGAGGCAGGCAGAGAGAGTGGGGGAAGCGGGCTGCCTGCTGAGCAGAGAGCCCGATGCAAGGCTCGATCCCAGGACCCTGAGATCATGACCTGAGCCTAAGGCAGAGGCTTGACCCACTGAGCCACCCAGGCGCCCCAAACAGGAGCAATTATTTTTGAAATGTGGAAGTGAGCTGTACAAACTGGGAGTTCGGAGAGATTTCTGCCAGTTTTGGGTGTTTTTTAATTTTTTTTTTCTTTGTAGGCGGTACTAGGGTGGGACGGAGGGCAGAGGGGGAATTTAAGACCTTGGTTGGATGAGACAGGCGAGTTTGGAACAGTAAACGACGACATCTGGGCACGGGACTAGGGCAGGAGAATTAGTTTTATCACAGGTGGGGAGGGGGCTAGAGGACACCGTACCCGCGAGGGGCTTGAATGGGGCGGGACAGACCATGGCTCCAGGTATGGGTGTCCCGCTTACCAGCAGTGTGATTGCCTCCCGAGTTTTTGTAAAAGCGGAGTGGTGGTGCCTTCTGGCTGGGGGGTGGGCGGCGCGGACTAGGGGTGCGCTCTGGGGGCGGGGCAGAGACGCAGGGTACGCCTTCGGGGCGGGGCGGCGGCACGGGGGTGTGTCCTGGGGGCGGGGCGCGGAGGCTGGGCCGCTGGGGCGGAGGTGGTGCGGTGGCTGGGCCTGGGGGCGGGACCCACGGGGCCGAGGGGATGAGGGGGCGGGGCTCAACGCGGGGGCCGGTCCCAAGGCGGGTCCTGGGCTGCGGGCGGGGCGCGGCGGCGGAGGCCCGGAAGCTGACCGAGGTCGCCCGGGTTCCCGCCGTCTGGCTGCCATGGACGAGGCGGACCGGCAGGTCCTGCGGCGGTGCCGGGTGCAGCTGGTCAACGAGCTGCAGGTGGCCCCGCTCTGGGACGTTCTGGTGACCCACCAGCTCTTCACGCCCGCCATGATCGAGGACATTCAGGTGCGCCCAGTTTCCCGCTCCGCGCGCAGACTTCACGTCCCAGCTGGGGTCAGGGGGGCCGCGCGGAGAGGGTTGCTGAAGCCTCAGGATGACTTTAAGGCCAAGCTCCCACTCTTTCCTTCCGATTTGTGCCCCCAGTGCCCATCCCCTTTGGGGAATCGTCCTGTGGGAACCCCCTTTTACCTCGCGGCGTTGAGCCCACTGGTTCGTCCAGCGGAACCGTGCCATCCCAAACGCCTTTTCCAGGGTTGGAGAGAGTGATTCCCCGCCCCGCCCCGCCAGCAGCCAACCCTGTTGGCTGCAGCAGCACTGTGTTTCTGCCCGGGAAGGAGGCCTGTGTTGTTCCTTTTCGTGGAGGTTCAGGGCACCCAGCTGGAGGGGTTGAGTCACACTGCCTGGGTCCCTGGCTAAGTCACTGATCGTCTTCGAACGTTAGTTTCCTGGACTCTGAACTGGGTTACAACGGTAGTAGCGTGCGAACCAAATGAGCTAATGGATGTGGAACTCTAAGGTCAGGTGCAGAGCCAGGGCCTAGCTGCCTGTGCCCTGCCCACTTTGGCCAGCCTCTCCTGTGCTAAGTTTGTTTCCTAAGGGGTTTTGGAGGTGAGGGGCCTGATGCAGGGAATGGACAAAATAAATATGCGAGGTTCTCTTTAAAAGCAGGGGGAGTCCAGGAGGTATTTCCTACCAGGAGGTGTGAGTGGCTTTCCGGAGGCCTCTGGCCTGGGGGCTGCTTGCAGACCGGGTGTCGGTTTCCTCCATCATCATCCAGGAGCTTGACCTGACCTAGTGAGGAAGTCTTTAATAGGATAAGGGTCATATGAAAAATTATCAGTGAATAATAATAAATTAAAAGAAGTCTTATGGGCATCTGCTCTGTGGCCTGTACTAAAGAGTGGAAATGGTTGAAGGCCATCTCTGTGCCTTCAGATACAAATTCAAATGCCCACAGAGGCCCAATGGGTGGGCATTGCGGTGGGCAGCCCCCCAGCTCCAGCTCAGTGTGGTCATTCCAGAATGCTGGCCCTGTGTGGCCAGGTTTTTAAAGAGAAGCTGAAAATCCTGATTTTGATATTAAATTCCCTGATTTTAAATGTTAGCGACAAATTCAGATTTTTATTTTATTTATTTTTAAAAGATTTTATTTATTTGACAGAGAGAGAAGAGAGAGGCAGGCAGAGAGAGAGGGGGGAAGCAGGCTCCCTGCTGAGCAGAGAGCCTGATGCGGGCCTCGATCCCAGGACCCTGAGATCATGACCTGAGCCGAAGGCAGAGGCTTAACCCACTGAGCCACCCAGGCACCCTAAATTCAGATTTTTAAAAGAACATCACATGAACGACAAGGCCACCATTTTGCCACACCTGGTTTGGCTGAGCCACATGGATCTAGGTCCTCATCCTGGCTTTGTCACATATTAGCAAGTTGCAGTGCCTTTCTGGGACTCAGTTTCCCTCATCCTTAATGTGGGGATAATTGTAATTTTACCCCTTAAGGTTGTTGAGGGGGACTAGATGAAATGATGCATTTAACACAGCATCTGTCTTACTGTGAGTGTTCTGTAAATGTTGAGAGAAAGGCCCATAGCTATCTGTTTTGTTAGTGAGGATTATCTTTTCAGTGACATTATCGGTCTGTGCTGTTCAGTATAGTAGCTGTTAGCCACATGTGGCTATTTAAGTGTAAGTCTGAAGTAATTAATACTAAATAGAATAGAAAATTCTGTTCCTCAGTTGTTGGACCCCAGTGCTCAAGAGCCATGTTGGTTAATGCTGGCCATCTTGGTCAGCACAGGTGAAGAATATTTCCATCATCATAGAAAGTTCCCTTGGACAGTGCTGCTGTAGGACATTGGAGCCCAGGGTGGGTCTCATTCCTGTGGATCCTGAGGAACTTGGCCAGAGTTGGGTCTCAAAGGACAATGAGCAGATAAGCTTGTTCCTTCTTTTCCCTGTGTCAGTGACGAGCTCCCCCATCCTGACACCCATTAACCTCAACCCTTCCTGCACCTTACGATCCACCTGGTGAGTGCCCACATCCTGTGCTTTCTCCTTCTTGATTTTTCTGGTCTGTCCACTCACTTCCCCATTCCTGCGGCACCATCTTTGCCACTACCTGACCTGGCTGTGGCTCACTCCCTTCTGTTGTCCACCCTGCCCCGGGGGTAATTTTTCTAAAAGGCAGATCTGACTCTGTCACTTTCTTTCTCTCTCTCTTTTTTTAAAAAAATATTTAATTTATTTATTTCTTTGACAGAGAGAGAGATCACAAGTAGGCAGAGAGGCAGGCAGAGAGAGAGGGGGAAGCAGGCTCCCTGTGAGCAGAGAGCCCGATGCGGGGCTCGATCCCAGGACCCTGAGATCATGACCTGAGCCGAAGGCAGAGGCTCAACCCACTGAGCCACCAGTGGTTCCTCACAGCTTTCTTGGCGTGCGCACACAAAGGCCTCACCCCGCACCACTGTCTCCCATTCCAGCTTACATTTCTTATTTCTCTGAATTCACTCTTCACTTCCTAATGTTCTCTGGGGTCTCAGCAAAGCTTTACATCCCATGGTGGAGGCCTCCCTGGCTTCCCAAGTCTGAGTTGGATTCCCCTGGACCCTCCTAGGCTCACGTGCTTTCCCACCTGATACTTCTCTCTTTGGTGTGTCACCGTTGATTCGTGTGTTTGCAACCCCCGCTAGATGTCTGCTTGAGGACTGATACTGTCCACTGCTGTATTTTCAGCACTTAGCACAGTGTTGGGCTCATCAGAGATGCCTCCAAAATACTGAATGAATAGATGAGCAAAGGCTGGCAGGTGGCACACACTCAGTGTAATTGCACACACAAGTTTTGCACACGTGCCCGATTGTTTAGACTTATGCTAGATGGGAAATGGGGGTGACAAAGTGAGAGTCACAGGACATTGTGTGGATAATAGTGCCATGTCTTTCTTTCCAAACAGCATGCAGGCTCAGGGTCTCGGAGCGATCAGGCCAGGCAGCTCGTCATAGATCTAGAGACCCGAGGGAGTCAGGCCCTTCCTTTGTTCATCTCCTGCTTAGAGGACACAGACCAGAACAAACTGGCTTCAGTCCTGAGAGCGCGTCGGCAAGCAGAAAAGCAGAATCCAGAGGTCGTCAGACCCCGGAACCCCATGCCTGTGGTGGTTGGAGCAATGGGCCTCACACCAGAGGATCTCAGAGGGAAGCAAGGCCCATCGAAGGCGACTCCCGGAAAACTCGCTCCAGTGGTGCTGGGGCCTGAGCAGCTCTGGTCAGCCAAGCTCAGGCCAGAGGTTCTCAGACCAGAGATGCCCAGGCCAGTGGACAGTGGCTCTGGACGATTCAGTGATGTATGTGAGTACCAAGAGAGTGGTTGGTGGGTAGTTGGACCTATGAGGTTAGTGACCTTGGATATCCAGATCTCTCCCCAGGTGTGGGAAGTTCTCAGCCATTATTTTTCTAAATAAGCTTATTGCCCCTTTCTCCCTCTCTTCCTTCTTCTGGGACCCCAATACTGCATAGACGTTTCTTTTCAAGATAACCCATAGTTCATGTAGGCTTTCTTCATCTTCTCTGTTCTTTTCTCTTTGTTCTCTGCCGATAATTTAAAAAGACTTGTCTTCTACTTCGCAGATTCTTTCTTCTGCAGGATCGAGTCTGATATTGATGCTCTGTTGCATTTTTAATTTGATTTATGGCATCCTTCAGCTCTAGAATTTCTGTTTGGTTCTTTTTTATGATTTCTATCTCTTTTGTTCATGTGTTATTTTCCTGATGATGTTGAATTGTCTTTGTGTGTACTCTTGTAGCTTAGTGAGCTTTCTTGAGACCGTGATTTTGAATTCTTTGTCAGGCACATTGCAGGTTTCTATTCTCAGGGGTCAGTTTCTGGAAAATTATTGTGCTCCTTTGGTGGTGTCCTATTTCCTTGATTTCTCATGTTTCTTGAAGTCATGTGTTGGCTTTGCACTTGAAGGAGGAGTCATTTGAAGGAGTCCTTGCTGACTGGCTTCTTCAGTGCATCCAATCTTGGATTATTTTGTACCAGCGGTGTTTTGGAACATCTCTGCTTGATTCCCGGGCTTACACAAAGGCAGTCTCACTTGTGGATGGTAGTCAAATTGGTGTTCATTGTCGGGGAAGATAGTAGAACACTCTTATTTGTGCCATTTTGATGATGTCCCTCTCTCGCTTTATGGATCGATACTACTAATTTGGGGAATGAGAGAATTCTTCAGTTGTGGATACTTACTAGTTATATTGTCGGGGTGCTGCAGTAATTTGGAAATGAGTGATAGATCCAGATTTAAGGCTGTGAACTATAGGATTCTTCAGGCAGGTAAAACCACTTCCAGTTAAAAAAAATGGGACGTGAATGCTTTTCTGGCATGGCTTTAAAACTCTTGAGAGAATAGTTCCCAGTGAGGAGTCCCAGCCCTCTGTGAGCAATGAATGGCACAACTGTGGGATCACGAGAATAGGCTCCAGTACCGCTCACCTTGCACGGCAACTCAGAGATAGCCACCAAGTTCTCTTTGTTTAAGAAGAAAAATTCTACTACCTTACAGGCTGGTGGTCAGTGCTCTTCTTGCTAATCAAAATGAAAAATCATTTGACACTGAAGGAAAAATGATCACCTTTACTCATATATTCATTCTGCAAATACTTGTTGAGGACTTTCTGGGTGCTGGGCTCCATGGGTTCTACAGAAGGAAGTGTCCACTCTCCTAGAGCTTCCCTTATGCCTTTCTGTTTTAGAATTTCATGTGAATGGAATCACGTCATGTATACTCTTCTGACTCCTTTCCTTGGCATAACAACACAGCGTCGTATGTGTCCGTACCTTGTTCCTTTTCAGGCTGTGGAGCATTCCCGTGTATGGCTTTTTTCCTAAATTGTCTATCCATCAACTTGTTGAGGAACATTTGGATTATTTCTAGTTCTGGGTATTAAGACTATAAGGCTTTAGGGGCGCCTGGGTGGCTCAGTTAGTTAAACATCAAATATCTGCCTTCGGCTCAGGTCATGATCCCAGAGTCCTGGGATCGAATCTTGCATTGGGCTCTCTGCTCAGTGGGGAGCCTGCGTCTCCCTCTCCTTCTGCTTGCCTCTCTGCTTACTTGTGATCTCTCTCTCTCTCTGTCAAATAAATAAAATCTTAAAAAAAAAAGAGAGAGAGTAATGCTTCAGTGGGGTTGCCTGGGTGGCTCCGTCGGTTAAACATCTTACTTCAGCTTCGGTAATGATCTTGGGGTTCTGGGATTGAGCCCTGCGTTGGGCTCTGCACTCAGCGGGGAGTCTGCTCCTCCCTTTCCCTCTCCCGCTGTTCCTCCTCCCCGCTGTGCACGCGTGCCCTCTTTCTCTCCAATAAATAAATAGAATCTTTAAGGAAAAAATGGAATGAGGCTTCGGCGATCATCCACAGCCCATTTGTTTTCTGCTCACGCACTCATTTCTCTTGTGTCTGTACCTGGGAATGGAATTGCTGGTCAGAGGGTAGGTGTGTGTTCAACCTCACTGGAGACTTCTGAGCCGTTCTGCAAGGTGGCCATGCCCCTGGTCTCCCACTAGCACTGCCTGATGTTCCCCAAATTCTTGCTCTTTTATACTTAAAGACCCTTGCCCCGCCCCTGTTGGGCCAGCCATTCATGTCTTCTCTCTCTCTCCAGGTGCTCAGGAGATTTCCAAGCAAAATGCTGATTTGGTGAGTCTTCTTGTGACCTGGGGCCAGCTGCCTTGGCTTTGGGCTCTTCTGCTCTACACATCCCAGGTCCTTCCCTCTGCAGCTGTCCCAGGAGCCCAGGGAACCGAGCCCAGCTGGCGGGAGGGTCCCAGGCCCTCTACAGCTCCCTGACGCTGGCACAGCTCTTCCCAGAGCCGACTGTCCAAGCCTCCCTGCTCTTCCCTTGACTGTGAAGTTGGGGGCTCAGACCTCACGTGAGGTGGCTGTCAGAATCGGCTGTGGGACCGAGTCACTCTCACTCATAACACTTGTTGTGTGAGTCCTGCGTGCCGGTCCTGGGCTCCATGCCACGATCCTGGGAGTGGACCCCTTGTGTTTCTAGTCCTCGTGCTAGACTGTCAGCCTAGCAGAGGCCACGTACACAAAGAAATAACCTCTGTCTAAATAGTGTTAAACTGTGACAAAAAGGACGGGCTGCTGTGAGGGAGGATTCCTGAGGACCCGGGGAGCCTGGCTGGGAAGTGGTGTCCATCCTGAGGGCAGGCCGGGCCACGGGTCTGTCTGCTGCAGGGGCCACCCACACAGTTCTTGGGGGCTCCCCTGGATGGACAATCTGTCTGGTCCTTTTAGGGCGAATGCCTCTGGGTGTTGGATTTCTAAGCTGAGGGCCGTTGTGGGAACTGGTCTTCTCTCCCAGGTTTGCTCTCTGTGTGCCCTCCCACACACGCTCACGCCCGTCTGGGTTGCAGTCTGTGTGCTTTTGCCCCAGAATGCCTGGTGTAGATGCTGCTGCCCTGTCAGAGGGCGGGCAGACCCCTCTTCTCTCCCCTCTCTCCAGACTGCCAGCTGCACGCATGAAAACCAGGGGCTCGCCTTCTCTCCTGAGGGGGGGCAGCGAGCACCCTGCTGACACTAGTCCCTGTGCTTGGGCAGGCCTACGCCCTGAACGCAGACCCCTGCGGCCACTGCCTGATCATCAACAACGTGAACTTCTGCCTCGAATCGAGGCTCACGGCCCGCACCGGCTCCAACATCGACTGTGAGAAGCTGCGTCAACGCTTCCACTTGCTGCATTTCATGGTGGAGGTGAAGTGCGACCTGACGGCCAAGGTAGGGTCACGGTCCACGGGGAGAGGTGGGGGCGGGGTGGGGCAGGGTCCCACGACCTACCCGACGAAGCCCAGCGACTCCCCGAGATGAGCCCTGAAGACTGGAGCAGCAGCAGAGGCAGTGTGGCTCCGGGGGGTCCCAGGTCGGGTCGCAGCCTCCGGGCAACCTGGTTGAAGACGGGTCCTCCCCTGTGTCTCCTGGACTTTAGCTTCCTCATCCAGACAGCAGGAAGGGGATTCTCCTCCTCGGGTCACTGTGAGGAGTGAATGAGCCATGCCCGAGCCCAGCACCTTGTCGCCAGGAACGGTGGCTCTTGTGACTGTCAGGGCAGGCCTTACGGCAGTGTTGGCTGCGGGAGCAGGGGAAGTGCTCTGCCCAGGTGGGCCTGGCGTGGGGACCCGATCTGTCCGTGCTCTGCCTTATCTGCCACCTTCTCTCGTAGCAAATGGTCCAGGCTTTGGTGGAGCTGGCGCGGCGGGACCACAGCGCCCTGGACTGCTGCGTGGTGGTCGTCCTCTCCCACGGCTGTCAGGTAGAGGTGCTGGCTCCTTGGGCAGCGGCCCCCGAGCTGAGAGGGAGGCTGAGCTGAGAGGCCATGACAGAGCCCCGGTCTTTCCTGGGTCCTGGCTTTGTGGGAAGAGCCATGGGGCCCTGTCTTTCCCCTGTTGGCTTCCTGGGAGCCATCTGGCCCTCTGAGGAGTTGGAATCTCCTCCTCTGGGAGGGCGCCGTGTTCCTGGGAGAAGCCATCTGGGAGAGAGAGGGAAAGAGGTTCTGCTCACCAGAGCTCCCACCCGGGATTTTGTTCAGAGCCGGGTATAGCACACAGGAGCTCCCAGCTCCTCCCTCTGTCCTGCTCACCGTGGTCCCAGGTCCTTTGCTGGGTGTCAGGACACTGGGATCCACTCTGGGCTTGGCCATTAATGTGCTGGGTCATTGTGGCCCAGCCCCTCTCCGTGCCTGGGCCTCAGGTCCCTCACTCATCTTTTCATGTGAGGGTTAGACAGATCAGAAAGGAGGCCTGTAGTCCCGCAGGGGGTTGCATAGTGTTTTCAAAATTGGGAACTTTGTCATAGAAATCAGGGTTTTCCAGCCTCTCTTGGAAAACCACAGTGGTCTGGCCTTACTAGGCCACATCCTTACAGAGCGAAACTCCAGCCTGTAGCTGGGCAGGGACTGCCCCCTTTTCATTTGTGGTGTGACCCCCAGACCAACAGCGCGGTCTTCACCAGGAACTCACGAGAAATCAGACTCTCAGGCCTTGCCCCAGATCTCTTCATGGAGAGCCTGCACTTTGACAGGGCCCCACATGCAGAAAGTCTGAGAAGAACAGAACAGTGGTTCTCAATGCTTAGCTGCATCAGAGGCTCCTGAAAGACCATGTTGCTGGTCCCCACCACCAACGTTTTGAGTTTGGTCTGGGGGAGCCCAGGACTCAGGAAGCCTTATGGGTTCCCGGGTGATGCTGATGCCACTGGTCCAGGGACCACAGTTTGAGAACCGCCGATCTAGAAGAAGCGGGCTGCACTCTCCAGTTCGGCCTTTTTAGGCACGTGAGTCTGAGACCTCCAGAATGTAGACTGGCTGGATCCATCCAGAACCAACCTCTGTCTGAGTTAGGCTTGTGCCCCTGGCTGGGACCTTCTAAACTCTTGGCCCCACAAAGCCACTGGAGGGTGTGTTGGATTCTTACCCCGGCTTTTTGGTTTTGTAACCAGGATTCTTGGTCTCCTAGGCCAGCCACCGCCAGTTCCCAGGGGCTGTTTATGGCACGGACGGATGTCCTGTGGCCATCGAGAGAATTGTGAACATCTTCAATGGAGCCGGCTGCCCCAGCTTGGGAGGGAAGCCCAAGCTCTTCTTCATCCAGGCCTGCGGTGGGGGTAAGCAGGTCCTCAGTCTCCCCGCCGATGACTCCAGTGGGAGGAGCCGCCTCCGCCTCCTCTCCAGCCCCTCCTGATGCCCAAGGGGTCTATCCGGGCGGTCAGAGGGTCCCAGACATGGCCCCTTTGCCCGAACGGCTGCACCTGCCTTTGTCTCGAGTAGGCCTCAGCTTTGTCTGGCCTGTGGAGGTTAGAGCCTCTGGGGCTCCTTCAGCTCCGGTGGCTTCAATTCCAGAGACTTGGCAATGACAAAGCAGGGGAGAGAAAAAAAAACCTCTTACATTTTCCTTATCATTCCTTCAACCTGCCTCAACTAGACCCTCTTAATACTGTCCCAGAGAAAGGGAGGCCAGAGCCAAATTACTAGAATTCCCAAGGGCCCAGGTATTGGAGATTCATAATATTATGTGTGTATATATATATATATATATATACACACATAAACATATATACACACATATATGAACATATGTATATGTATATATATATATATATATATATATATATTTTTTTTTTTTTTTTTTTTTTTTTTTTTAGAAAGAGAGCACATGAGGAGGGGGTGGGGAGGGGCAGAGGGAGAGGGAGACAAGCAAACTCCCTGCTGAATGGGGAGCTGGACTGGGGCTCTATCCTAGGGCCCTGAGAGCACAACTTGAGCCGAAACCTAGAGATGGACGCTTGCTTAGCTCGCTGAGCCCCCGGGCGCCCCAGCAGCATATTCTTCTGAATGTGTTCATCTGTCCCATATTGTTCCACGTTGGTGGGGTCAGGTGAGGGGGTGTGGGTTGTCTAGGAGAGCAGGCTCTGGTCACATGACATCTGGTAAGTGTTTACTGAGTAAAAATTACTGTGAGCTGTGATACCCGGCTGTGCATTAGGTGCTGGGGATACAGGGTAGACAGGGTCTCTGCCCCCTGGAATTTATAATTTGACTGGAATTGCATCAGGTCACGGTTGTGACCCATGCTCGTAACTTGACCATGAGTGACTGGGAATGCCAGGTTCCGTCTTGGTGGTTCCTTGCTTCCTACACAAACATGGGCTGGTTTATCTCTAGAAGCCTTGGCAACTGGGGATAAGAACAGAACCTCCTAGCATCGCTATGAAATATCTTGCATATTACAGCACTTAACACGGTGCCTGGTTCATTCTTGTAGCTGCAGACCTGGACTCTCCCCGTCCCCCTGGCCCCAGAGGACCCTGTGTCGCCTAGGAGCCCCCTGCCCCCTGTCCCCAGCACAGTTACCTCAGAGTTATGGTAAGAGGAAGGTGGAAAGGCTGCTGCTCTTGGGGTTGTAGAAATCTGCTCCCACTCATCGTTTTTATTACGATCCCAAAGGTAGTCAGCCAATGTTCTTGCTCTGAAGCAAATGGTTCTTCCTTCTTGTGCGAAGAGAGGGAAAGGTGAGGTGGGCAAGGGAACCATGGACAAGGCTGAGCTGGGACACAGCTTGCTGGGAAGGTCACAGGTAGCTGGTCTCCCGGCTCGTTGCGTCCTCATTGTCCCCTCTCAGCAGCAGGGTCACTCTCCCGACTCCTTAGCGGGCCCGCGAGGTCTGCAGCCTCTGTTCTGCCCTCACAGCACTTTGTCCTTGTACTGAGATGGCCTCGCCCCCTGGTCAGCCAGGTCCCCCCAGCCTGGCACAAAGCCCACAGCATGGTTGCATCTTCTGTGGATCCTGATTATTTGATTTTGAAATAGCAAAATTTTGAGCAAAATTTTAAATAATATCGATTCCCTTCACTAAAAACAAAACCCCCAAAAAACAAAAGAAAACCCAACTCCGTGGAAACAGCAAGGTTTCAGAGCTGGAATGCGTGATTGCGAGGCTGCCTTTGGAGCTGCGGTCCCTCTCTGCCCAGGTGGCCGTGGACCTTGTGTGCAACGCGGTGGCCACATGGGGGCGGTAGGGAGACCGAGAACAGAAATGCTGACCCGCCCACAATCTGGGGACACAATCGGGAGTCTCCTTGTTTACAGGCATTTGAACATCTGCCCTGGATTTTGGTGAATCTTGGGTTGCTTTTGCAAAATTCACTGTTGTTACAATTTCAAAGAGTTTTAAAATCCTTTGACAAGTCCCACGCCCCTTCCGTCAGAGGTGGCGCATGCCCCAAGGCAGAGACATGTGCCTCGAAGTTGGTGGCGCTGGTGTGGCCTGTCAGGAGGGGGTAGTGTGATACAGCGTGATCTGGCCCCATGCACTTGGCTGGAGCCAAGCGGCCTCTGCAGGGCCGAGCTGGTCATTTTGGGGCCGCCCCTCTTCAGACTTCCAGGGCTCATGCTGAGAAGGCAGAAGGGAGCAGTGTGCTGCGGGTTGTGGATTTTCCGTGCGGAGGGTTCAGCTCCTCCTCCCACTGTGTTTATTTCTTTTTTTTTTTTTTTTAAGATTTTATTTATTTATTTGACAGAGATCACAAGTAGGCAGAAAGGCAGGCCAAGAGTGGGAGGGGGAAGCAGGCTCCCTGCTGAGCAGAGAGCCCCATGTGGGGCTCGCACCCAAGACCCTTAGATGACCTGAGCCAAAGGCAGAGGCTTTAACCCACTGAGCCACCCAGGTGCCTGCTGTGTGTTTATTCTTACGGGGAAGTGAGGGAAGTGAGTGAATAATGCGGTTGCTGTGCAAGGTTTTGTTGGAATACCGTTTTCAGTTCTCTTGGGTGTAACTCTTGTAACTTGTTTTTAAAGCTTTTTAAAAAAGTTTCTGCACCCCCCCCATTTTTCCTAATGAATGTGTACAACTTTTGTCATAGTAAAAAGTAAAGGTTGGGGGACACCCGGGTGGCTCAGTCAGTTAAAATCTGACTCTTGATTTTGGCTCAGGTCATGATCTCAGGGTCATGAGATCGAGCCCTGCATCGGGCTCCACACTCAGTGAGGAGTCTGCTTGAGATTCCCTCCCATTCCCTCTGCCCCTCCCCAAATTAAAAGAAAGGCAAAGCTTCTGTTTTTGTTTCTTGCTGAGGTTTGCTCAGCCCTGGAACCCTGGTTCCAGAGGGGATCCGATGGTCTCAGGCTGGGGCAGGCCGGATGTCACCAGGAAGCGAGGAGCAGGAGCTTTGGCCTGTGGGTGTCAGTGATGAGTGGTGTGTCTGTCTTTGGTTCCTGCAGAGCAGAAAGACCATGGGTTTGAGGTGGCCTCTGCTTCCCCCGAAGACAGGACCCTAGGCAGTGACCCCGAGTCAGACGCTGTCCCATTCCAGGAAGGCCCAGGCCCCTTTGACCAGCTGGATGCCGTGTCTAGTTTGCCCACACCCAGTGACATCTTTGTGTCCTACTCCACCTTCCCAGGTAAGTGCATCAGGAGAGTACCTCCTCCCAGCTGGTGGGTCCCCTGCTTTGCCCTCAAAGCAGCTGTGCTGTGAAGGAAAGACATGGGTGTGAGTCTTGGCTCTCCCTCTTGCTGAGGGACCCTAAGCAAGTTCCTTGGCCTCTCTGAGCCTCAGCTCGGTGCAGGCAAGGCGCTGAGGAGGCAGAATTTAAGGGCGGACCTGCTCTTGGATTTGTAGGCCTCACTTGCCTCTCTCTTGTCTTGGTCCTGTCTTGGTCTTCTCATCTTTAAAATGGGAATAGCAGTCACACTTCAATGGGCGTCCTGGGGATTCTCGAGGTGGGTAGTGCCTCGCTGAGAATGGTGACTGGCATGTAGCAGGTGTGAACACATTAGTCTCCTTCCTTTCTCAGCCCTTGGGTGAGTCATGTGACTTCTCAGAGCCTTGTTCTCCTTGCCGGGAAAGCAGGAATCACGACCGGAGTCCCAAGGTGGTGGTGAGAGTGAGGTTAGGTCCTGACCCGGACCGCAGGCAGAGATGTGGGCCGCTCCTGCGGGCAGTGTGAATGGGCCCAAGCCCAGAGGCCACACATGGTTGGGGGGTAGGGCTCCCCAGTAAAGCTCAGCCTGTCTGCTTCTGCAGGCTTTGTTTCCTGGAGGGATACCAAGAGCGGCTCCTGGTACGTGGAGACGTTGGATGGTGTTTTTGAGCAGTGGGCTCACTCTGAAGATTTGCAGACCCTCCTGCTCAGGGTGAGTGTGGCCTCCCTCTGGGGGAGGAGAGGGAAGGCGGCTGGGAGGCGCGTGAGTCGTCCTCTGGGCAGGCGGGAGGGTCCAGCAGGGCCCCGGGCCCACACCAGAGGGTCCTCGTGCACCTTGGCTTGCCGGGAGAGTTGGTGCTTCTGCTTCTTTTGAATTGCAAGGTGTTACTGTTATGGTGACATTGGCCCATTCAGAGGGCTGCCTTCCTGGCTCCTCAGAGGTCCCAGGCTGACGCTGGGATCCCCGATGGCAGGGCCAGTCCTCAGGGCAGGGCAGGATGGCGCAGCGGCCAGAGCATGGCATTCCTGAAGGCGGTCATGGGGCCTGCACCCTTCACCCCACCATGTACTCTTTCAGGCTTGACGCTCAAGAATTATGATTTCCTCAATATATGCCCTTCTCAGGGCAGGGGGCCTGGTGAGAGAGCAGAAGCATGGCCTGATGGGTCCCCAGCCTCCCTCCGTGGAATCCTGCTCAGAACAGCTGCCTCCTCCACGGTTCTCAGAGCTCACGTGGGCCTCTCCCACTTGCTCAGCTGTTTTGTGTCATGAGAAGGTTCTAGAAGGGCTGGGGTCATGCCTTCCTCCTGGGGAGGCTGTGGCTCTGTGCTTTGCAGAGCAGAACCAAGGACAAAGGAAAAGCAAGTGAAGGACTTGAGGGGGCCCCGTGTGCCGTGGCTCTGGGCCGGTGACCTCAGAGGCAGTGGGGGGCCGTGCGGGGTCAGGCTGGGAGTCCCTCGGGGCCTGATCCCTTCTTTCAACTCGTCCTTAAGCGAACCCCTCAATCTGATTGGAACTATGTGAATTTTTGAAGTTTGAAATTTTGAATTTTGAGTTTTCTAAACTTACAGTGGAGATATTTTTCTTTAAACACCCTCCCTCCCAACTTGAGGAGACTGCAGGTTTTTAAAGTAGTTCTTAAGCTTTTATGTATGGACGTATGTATTTATTGAAGTGTCGTTGACACACGTAGCGATGTTCTGTGAGTTTCAGGTGTACGACATAGGAGCTGGCCATTCTGTACATCATGCCGTGTGTACCATGATAAGTGTAGTCGCCCTCTGTCATCATACAAAGTTATTACAATATTATCGACATATTCTCTATGCCGTACTTTTCATGCCCGGAAGTTTCTACCTCTTAATCCCCTTCGCCTATTTTGCCCATCCCCCCACTGCCCGGCCCTGGAGCATCATTTACAACAGCCAAGATACGGAAGCAGCCCAAGCGTCCATCCACAGATGGGTGGATAAAGAAGACGAGGTATAGATACACAACGGAATATTACTCAGCCGTAAAAAAGGATGCGTGCTCTCTGTTTGGGACAGCATGGATGGAGCTAGAGGGTATTAGGCCCCCAACGTGACATAAATTAGAGAAAGACAAATAGTATAGTTTCACTCGTGTATAGAATCTAAAAGATAAAACCAACAGACAGAAACAGACTCCTAGACACAGAGTACAAGCTGGCACTGAGACGGGGCTGGGTCAGTGGCCATTCCCACCCATGGGCCATGTTACTTCCATCGAGAGCGCTCACAGACCTCCCCGTGCTCATGTTTTCACAGGTCGCTAATGCTGTTTCGCAGAAAGGGTTTTACAAACAGATTCCCGGTTGTTTCAATTTCCTCCGGAAAAAACTCTTTTTTAAAGTGTGATGAGGGCCAGGGCCCCTCCCCTGCTCACCTTGCTTTACCGTTCACACCAAAACCTTCCTGCCCACAGAGGAAGTGGCCTGGGCCCACGGCAGCCGAGGCCCCATCTATCCTACAGCCACGGCTGTCATTCTTTAAAGGGGTTTGTGGCCTGTCGTGGGTCTACTCTTTCCTCACTGGTGGCCGACAGGCTCTTAGCAGCTTCCACGTTGGAGACAAATGACGGGAGACAGAGGAAGAGGAGCGGAAGATGGCCAAGGACACCACAGGCTCTTCCCAGCGGCCCTTTCTCCAACCAGTGGCTGGGGCCTGTCACTCCACTGTCGTCACTAGAGGACGGCTTCTCAGCCTCAGTACTATTGACATTTGGGGCCAGATAATCCTCTGTTGTGGGGCCATCCTGGGTGCTGGAGGGAGTTTAGTGGTGTCCCTGGTCTCTGCCCACAGACGCCTGTACGCCTCTCCCTGAGTAGCGACAACCAAAAATGTCTTCAGACATTGCCAGGTGTCCCCTGGTGGGACCCCGCTTGAGAACCACTGATCTGTAGGAAATTTTGGCTACAAACAAACCAGCATCTCTTAGATCAGCAAGTTTGGGGCTACTGGAGTCTGGACAGCTGGAGTCTGCGAATCCTAAATGAAGTTCTAAGTTACCAATTTTTCTTATGTTCCAGTATTCTTAAAAAAAATTTTTAGGTGAATATGGACAGCTTCTTCTTTTTTTTTTTTTTTTTTTTGGCCTATTTCCCCCCTCATTTTGTTCCAACTGTTTGTTTTTCCTTATAAAGGAGTTTTTTGCCTTTTTATTTCTATTTTTTTTTAAAGATTTATTTGAGTGAGAGAGAGAGAGAGAGAGAGAGGGGAAGGGCAGACGGAGAGAAAGTCCCCAACAGACTCCATCCTGAGTGCAGAGCCCAACTCCAGGCTCAATCCTATGACCCTGAGATCACGAGCAGAAACCAGGAGTCAGATTCTCAACTGACTGTGCCACCCAGGTGCCCCAGATTTTGGCTTTTTAAAAAAACGTCTCCCGGGGCGCCTGGGTGGCTCAGTGGATTAAGCTTCCACCTTCGGCTCAGGTCATGATCTCAGGGTCCTGGGATTGAGCCCCGAATCGGGCTCTCTGCTCAGCAGGAAGCCTGCTCCCCACCCCCCACACCGCCTGCCTGTCTGCCTACTTGTGATTTCTCTCTCTGTCATATAAATAAATAAATAAAATCTTAAAAAAAAAAAGTCTCCCCATCTCTTACTTTATTTGAACCCCACCCCATCTCAGGAAGGTGACTGGGCTGGGAGCTGTGTCCTCAGGGCAGTGAGGTCACAGGTAAGGCACCATCCCTGAGGTCTTGCCAGCTCTCCAGACCGTGGCCAGTTCGTAGCTCTCAGGGCGTGGGTGTGAGTCTTGTTTGCTGAAACTCACCGAGATAGGGATTCATGTAGTTGTCACCTCATTATTATTTAGCTCCTTGACCCTTCCAAGTCTGCACTAGTCGCCGGGACTTGTGGTAGTTCGTTATTTGCAGTCGCCTGCGGGCCACATCCAAGCAGATAACCCGGTTGACCCAGCAGAGCAGAGTGGGGCTTGGCATTTTCTGGCTTTCTCCCTCCTGAAATTCAGGCGAATCAGGTGGCCCTCTCTTGGGGATCCCTGGTGACCTTCAGGAGAACGGGATGTTACCACAGCTCTTCACGGACCTGGGGGGTTTCTTAGCCCAGGTTGCTGTTTGGGGCTCAGGGCCACGGGCCTACGAACACCCAAACACCAGGAGCCGAATGTGTGCATGGGCAGGTGTTTCGATTTCATTTGTTTCTCAGGGGGATCGAGAGCCCTGAAAGGGTTAAGCCAGCGGTGGCATATTTGCAAGGCACTGTGCTGCATTGCTTTCAGAGGCTGGCTATCGGTGTCCGGTTAGCAGTGTCCGTGGAACCCTTCACCAGGCCAGCCCTGCCTCTCAGTGCTGCTGCTGGAGCTCCACAGCGCAGGGACTTGGCTCTCGTGCGAGAGTGTGTGTCCGGTGGGTTCATGGCAGCCACGGGAGAGGGGACGATAGGGGACAGATGACAACATCACTCGTTATGGTCATAATAAAGAATATTACTGAGCTGTCCCAAAGGACGACCTGGAGGGATGGACTGAGACGTAAAATGTGATACCATGTTCAGTGACGGCATGAAGAGTGAGATGCTATTTTTGGCTAGAAGATATTCTGTATGAACGTACACAGGTATATGATATAGTCATGTACGTAAAGTCCGGAAGACCATCCACCATGCTCTTAACAGTGATTATTTCTGGAAGGTGGGATCAGAGACTTAAAATGAGGGAGACTTTCCTGTTTTACTGGGTACACTCCTGTATTCTAATATTCCTACAAAGACTGTGTATTACCTTCTCAAATAAAAATAAACATTCAGCTGGTGGCTGCTGAGAATGCGAGCGTTGCTGTCATTCCATGAACATTTGTTGAAAGGATGAATGCCCTTGGCCACCTGTCCCCTGTCCCCACCCTGCTCGTGTGTGGCAGGTGCTCCTGGCTGCACGCGGCACACCCCAGGCCGGGAGAATGACAAGGTTTCAGCGGGGCCTCTGCAGCTGCTGGGGCCACCTGCACCAGAAGACAGCTGCCTGCTCGAGTGTGCCAGTCCTGGAGCCCATTACTGGACACGTGTACCTGCTCCCGCTGCTGTCCCGAGAGCTGCGGGGGGCCTCTGCCCAGCCTCCCCAAGCTTGCCTTCCCCGTTGACCTTCTCTGACATCTGGCCATGCTTTCAGCTGTGGCCTGCTCTGTGGTGCCTCTGTCTGGCTCAGGACAGCTGATGCTGGGATAAAAAAGGACAGTTGCCCCCCAGCCCCTTCTTTGGGTCCCCAAGGTGCTGCCAGGATCAGCTGCTCGGTGGTGACTCACGCAGCAGCTGTGCTGGAAAGGGCCCCGGGGTTTGGCTGGGGAAGCGTCCCTAAGCTCACCTTCCCGCCAGGCGGTCTTGCGCCGGGCTCCTTTGAAATCCTGGTGGAAGCCTGCAGTCCAGGGCTTGGATTTTTCTTTGCCCCAAGGGAATCACGGCTCCTGCACCCCTAACCCCCCCACCCCCCTCCCCAGAACTGAGCAAACACAAACCACAGTGAATTTAACAGCCACACCCTTCTTTTTTTTTACGTTTTTCTCCAGCAATCTTCTCTGGAATCTCCGGTGCCCGTGACCCCTTGATGGCAAAGGGCCGCCAGCAGACAGACAAATGGACAGAGAGCCTGTGTGCGGTGATGAGTCCCAGAGAGGGCCACCTGCTCCTTTGGCAGTGCGGTGTCCCTCCTGCGACCACATGCTCATGGCTGTGGTTTCACACTGGATTTTTTTTTTTTAAGATTTTATTTATTTGACAGACAGAGATCACAAGTAGGCAGAGAGGCAGGCAGAGAGAGGAAGGGAAGCAGGCTCCCTGGTGAGCAGAGAGCCCAATGCGGGGCTCGATCCTAGGACCCTGGGATCACGACCGGAGCCGAAGGCAGAGGCCTTAACCCACTGAGCCACCCAGGCGCCCCTCACACTGGCTTTTAAAATAAGAGCATCAGTTTGATTCAGGTGAACAGTTCTCTGTAAAATAAACTTAAAAGGCTGAAATCACGTGCCAGCTTTCCCTCGCTTCGGGCGCAGTCATGAACAGCGCATGCAACTCCCCCGTGTTCTAGGCTTCTATAAAATTGTAGAGGGGGTCCCGGTCTGGTTCAAGTCCATTTTACAGAAGAGCAAGAAGGCAGTGAACGTGCCAGGAGGTAGGTGGAAAAAAATGGCCCCGATCAGCGTGGAGCCCTCCTGGTCCCTCCCAGGAGCCATCACCAGACCCCATGCCTGCTCCTCCTCCCTGGGCCCCCCCAGGCACCCCTCCCAGGCCGGCCTTTCCCATGAGGTCTCCCTGCTCTGGTTGCTTCCATCTGCTGCTGATTATATCTGTGGCTGCTCCCCTGATTGGTGCCAGGTTTTGCGGTTTTATTTTTTTTTAATAATTTTGATGGTTTTCTTTACACACAAATGTGTGTCCGTTGTTTACAAAAATAGAAACAGAGCTGGCGTGGAGCTTACAGGAGACCGCTCTCTGGGGATACATTCATAATAGCAGTGGGACCAACTCAGTCCTGGTTTGCCTGGTCTCTCCCCGTCTAAAATGGAAAGTCCTGCATCCTGGGAAACCTCTCAGCCCAGGGCAAACTGCAGAGTAGCTTGCGGACCCTGTAAAGGGAGTAATTTCTAGGGTGCCTGGGTGGCTCAGTGGCTTAAGCCTCTGCCTTTGGCTCAGGTCATGATCCCAGGGTCCTGGGATCGAGTGCCGCATCGGGCTCTCTGCTCGGCAGGGAGCCTGCTTCCTCCTCTCTCTCTGCCTGCCTCTCTGCCTACTTGTGATCTCTGTCTGTCAAATAAATAAATAAAATCTTTAAAAAATAAAATAAAGGGAGTCATTTCTAATCATTCATGGTGCAGGGGTCTCCAGTGATCAGGTTTTGGGCTTTGCAGATAAATATGTTTATAGCATTGGA